TAAACTCATTTGCTAATCAGGCAAATGTTTCCATTTAAAAAATCCACTTACTATCTTTTCTAGTTGTTCTGTTTGTGTATCCTAAAAGTTGACATGCAGAACAGGTGTGAAATTGAGAGATCAGCCATTTTTGAAGGGCATGGCAGCAGTTGGGAAGATTGAGTTTCTTACAGTTTATACCTTGTGATGTCTGTTGGTTTTTAATCTACTAAGCTTCTTTATTTGAAGACATGTCTTGTTCTATTAGTTTTCACATTAGCCAGTGAATTAGGTATTCATTACTATTCTTTTAACAAATTATCTATATAATATTTCCCATGAAATAGAACAAAGGGACTGTTTCCTGTGCCAGGAAGAATTAATATGAAAAACAATTTAATTGCTAAGAGATATGCGAGAAAAGATTTTCTTTTCCCTTTCCCACATCCCAAATCCACCACACCACTCTGTCTTGTAGATACATTTTCTTTGCCTTTTTCTACATTGTATTTGATGGCTTATTAATACAAAAATGTTTTAGCTTTGCTAATCAGATCTCAGAGTATCCTGTCCACATTTCAAGGATAGGATAGGAAAAAGACATTGCTACAATTCTATTCTATTCACAAGTATTAACTATGGATTCCTATAAGCTAGACCTTGTGAAGTGATAGGATGGAAGGAGTCACGTTCCTGTCCTAAATAAACAGGCAGTCCAGTTAGGATAATTAGTCAAATTCCTAGTGCATGCACAACAGTTAGTGTCATAAGAGACCTGAAAATGAAGAGATACCACCAATTAAAATAGTAGAAGACTTCAAAAGGATTAAAGTAGTAAGATAGAAAAATGTACAGAGTTGGGAAGGAGAGGAGGAAAGATAACTGAAATCTTCTAGACAAAGAGGTGTACATGAGCAGACACAGAGGAACAGATGAATATGGCATGTTCTTGGGACAGTGTGAGTTGCTTGACTGACAGAAGACTTGAAGCAAAGACCGATGGAAATTAGGGCTGCATGGTTCAGATGAGGTAATAAAGATGATGCACTGATTCCAACCAAGACCAGTAACTTAATTAGACATTGAAGTATGCTGCAAAATCGGGTCTTGGCATCATCTCAGCCAAACAAAAATGATTTCTCTGTAATCCATTTTTTGCTTACCCATGCTACTCTTTATTATCTTGAATAAAAGAATTGAATATATTAGGAAAAGACTTAGCTGATTTTTTCTTAAATTTTCATATAAAACATTGTTTCATATCTGACAAATGAAGGTAGTATGTAGGTATCTAACATAGAGTTGACACAAAATAAAAATACTGAACTTTTTAAAGAGTTGTTTGCTCAATAAAGTTTTAGCATAGTATAGTAATGACATTACTTATAAAACATGTTCAAAGCTAGTGAAAATTTGATTAGCTCTTTAAAGAGGTTTGGGTAAAATTATGGAAATATATTTTATTAGTGACTGAATCCATTTTTAAAAGATGAAAAGTAACTTACATTTCTGTGAGTTTTATTATGAATTATTTCTGAAATAGAAAAAAATTAGGCAAATTAATTAAATAAATAAAAGTAACTTTTTAAGCTGTTCTCTTCATGTAGGAGTACAACTGCGTAGATGTTGGAAGAGCATGTCCTGCCCTATTCTTTTCTTACCTTGTTGCAGAATCACAGTAGATCCTATTTCTCAGTTCCATGGAATCAGCTAAGACAGAACTTAATTAGCAAACCACAATCTTTATTGCCTAGATCAATTTCTGTATTCACTCTGAAAATTTTAAAGGTTTCAGAGTTCAGTAGATGAATTGACTCTGGGGGTGGCTGTTCTCCTGCCTGCATCTTCACTAGTTCTCCTGCTAGTTTTTTGTTTTGCTTTGTTTGCTTTTTGCCAAAATTTATGTGCAAAAATTGAGCCTAATAAAGAAGACAGCAGGCCTGGCAATATAAAATAATATTCCATGACTACAAAATTACCAAGAAAGTATCATGAATGCTATTTGGAAAAAAATTTACTTATTTCCCTGTATCTACACTGGATATTTTTTAGTTTTCCATTTAACCAGAAGATTGGTTTATGATGATATATAAAAGATGATCCTATCTCTCTTACAAAATGATGATTTATATATATATATATATATATATATATATATATATTATATATATATATAGCATTAAGCCAGTATTCTTGAAGGTTGAGAATGTCATCTCATTGACTCATTTATTCTTACACTGAAAAGTTTGTTGAGATGTTGGTGGCTTATGTAGATGTGATTTTTTAAAGATATTCGATCGTACTACCTACTGGACTCATCAATTAATTTTTAGAAGTTTGTTTCTAATAGTCAGAAGCCCAGCAAGATAAAAGGTGATGGTTATTACATCATGTTTCTTACCCACTATAGAAACAGATATGCAATAATACACTTCTTTTTGTTTATTCTCATGACACATCCTCTTTTGGCTCTTAACCAATACTTGAGGGGACATGATGAAGGCAGCTAAGCTTATAAAGGTGATCCTTGTTATGATGTGAACAAATGTGATCAAATGTGACCAAATGTGAGTCAAATCTTTATTAACCAGGGGCTGCCAGTTCTTCCTGAGATCCACTTTTCTTGTCCAACATAGTGATGTGACCAAAATGGGTTGCAAAAATCTACCTCCCCTCCACCTAGCAATAGTTTCATAGTTCTTATGATTTTATTTCCAATTCTGCACAAGTGGTCATTGGAAAATCAGTTAAACCACCGATTATTTCTTTTTTGCCTGCAGAGAAGTACACATGATGTATTTTAAGTCCTTTGAAACTTCTTTGTAGTATTGCAAGTATGCATGAGAAGGTTTAGTAAGTCAATGTTAAAGTCAAATAAAAGAGATTAAAGACGTTACATTCTTTTATGTATAAGAAAACAATTACAGTTCAGACACCTGTGTTCATAAAGTAATATAGCGTTCTTTGCATTAATAAGATATTGCATATTGACTGAAACTCTTAGAGGTAGAATGCAAAAGCCAAGTCATTCAGAACTGAAGAAATGCTAACCTTAACTTTGTTGTAATATAGACCTGTCAACAAAATTATCAAGATAGCAGTTTTAGAGATAATATTCCAAGTACAGCTACAGTATCCCACTTGTATTTAATGAAAATATGCCTTCTCAAACAATCAAATATTTGCCCTCAGTTCTCCTTCAGGATGTTTGTATTTGCTCAACTAAAAAGTTAAAGTCAAGCACTCAGTTTCAATGGGACTTGAGTCAAGCGTGCAATTAGGGGGTTTGGAAACAGTTGTGTACCTAATTAAGAAATCAAGAAAGTTATCTTAAACCTAAGAAAATTAAGGAAACTATCTCCTACCACATGAAAGCCAGTTTAAATGCTTCCTTCTCGTGTTGTCCTCCCACACGTGCCTGTTTCTTAGGAGTGTGGGACGCTGTGTACTAGTGTTGGTCATTGAATTCACCTTTATAGGTCCATAAACAGATTACCTTTTCTCTCTGAAGATCAATGTTACATTCTCTATGAAAGAAGTTCCTGTTAAAAAGGAATCACCCAAACGTGCTTCCTCAGTGTGACTCTCTCCCATATTTCTGACCAAGGCGAAAGCGTCAGATTACTTATTGATGCCTCCTCCCTGAGGATTAGCTGTTTGGGGTATCAAAGGAAGTGCTCTATTGTAGAACAAAGCACAAGATTTTGCACATTTTAGTCATTTAGTAAATAGTTGCTGAAAATTGATTGTATAGTATTAATTTCATTATACCTATGTGACTAAAATGATTAGTTCCATTATTTCACATACTTAGCCATAGCTAATAGCAGCAACCAAAGTCACTGGTATATTGGATATTCATTTCTCTATCAGAAGATCTTGCCTGCCTATTTGACTTTTTAAAATCTGAGTTATCATTTAACAAGTTGGTAACTATATAATGACTATCACCAATGATTAGTTTATTCTCTTAAAGCACCTTGAGGAATAATTTATTGTTTTATAGTGAGAAAAGTTAAAAATTTGCTTGAAGACAAAAAAAAAATACCGAGTAGTTCTTTTGTAAATCTTTTTTTAATTATTATCACTTAATGCTTTATGCTTTATAGGTACAAATTCATTCTGAAGCAATGCTTGTAGAACTTTTAATTTAAATTTCCAACTCTGAATAATAGTTGACGTCAAAGTTGTTCAACTGTGTTATACAATCTTCCTTTAAAAGAGAAAAAATATTGCTTAAAGAAAGGCCATCCCCCAAATTTTGTAAAACTGAAAGATCATCTTTTAATTGTTTCGGTCTTTGGCAAATTTGGCTTACAAATGCCCTGACTTTGTAGGTATGCAGGAGATAAAACGTATATATGTGTATATATGTTGTTCAGGTACACAATGTGTTTCTTCAACTTAAATCTACGCTTGGATGTTGTCCTTAAAAATATGAACTTAAAGTTGAAAGATTTGATTTATCAAAATGTGCTGATAAATGATACAGTGGTAAATGCAAATTTCATGGTCAATATTCAAAGACCAAAAAAAGTCCTCTGTCATTGTCCGTGTTTTATCTATTTTTAAAAACCACAGAGGGAAAAATACGCTCAGGGAAAAAAATGAAGCTTTACTGCAAAAGAAATGAATGCAAGAAATGGCACTTTAAGTAGTGAAGAGACATGAAGCATTGAAACTTCATAGCCTGCTAAGGAGCAACAGCTGTACCTAATTTCAACTTGACGTGCTTCAGATCTCATATTCATATAGGTATTTAATGATCCAAATATAATGGTCCTATATAGAATAATTACTTATATGAAGGAGCAAACTTCATACGCATTCCTTTTTAAATGATCCTTCAAGAGAAAAACTGCACTGGCTCTTTGAACAATGAATAGTCTCTTTCACCAATCCAAATGTTTGGGGCTAAATAGCTTATCTTTTAAGAGAGCAATAATAGTGCTGAGGTTCCTTTTTTTGACACACTCTTTTTGTCTTCCCCCTTCCCAGCATAGCCGGTACAATGAAAAAAGCTAGAATGCCAAGCCAATCATTAAGTCATACTGATAGATGGTTACAAGAAATATCAGAAACAAAAGGAAGTAAGGTACTTTAGAGTTGATGTATTTTGAAAGCAGAGATTCACTTTGAGATTGACTTTCCTGGGCAGGGAGACTATCAGAAGCAGGGCTGTCAGATTCCTTGTCACCTGAAGAGTACAGTGATTGTCCAGAGTTTATTAATCCTTCATTTTCATGCCTTACCCCTTCTATGTTCTCAGAAGCTTCGCTGATTAAAATCGTTGGCCCTAGAGGTTTCTCCACACTGCATTCTCCTTGTTTGACAATCTGGCCTATACATCTTTCCTTTGTACTACCTGATGTCACTATTCCTGAACTTTTAGAAACTTCTTCCAGTGGAGATGCAGGATGAGAGTGCTTTTCAGCACCCTGGATTTCACTTGTTGGATTACAATTATATTCTGACTTAGAAGTAGATTGGAGCGTCATGGTAGTACTTGCATGCTCTATAGTAGTGGCCTGTTCATGAGATGACACCGAACTTTTAGCATGGTGATTGGAAACCTGAGAGCCATTCTGAGAAGTTCTATTAGTGTCTGATTTTAAAGAAGAATGAATAATGACATCTATATTTGTTCTCTTTGATAATTCTTGGACCTGCTCGTGATCTCTATTTTCTGGAAGTATTTTTTTGTCTGTTGGTAACATTCCCATATGTAAATCTAGTTTTGAGGCTGCTTTTTGATTGCCTGTAATGACCTGTGAGGATTCTTCTACAGATGTTGTATTCCCAATGACACATTTCTTCTTGTCATGTGTCTTCCCAGGATTATATACAGCTATGGTTTCTTCCTTCTCCTTTTCATCTACATGTACATTACAAATACCTGAACATGACTCCTTTTCAAAATCATTGTCATAGATTACACCTATTGTATCTCGTTGACAAAGGGTATCATGTGAATCATCATTTCTCCCTTCATGTGGATCAAACGCTGTTTCCTTTACCTCTATGGGCCTGTCACTTCGTGCTGTCTCTTGAGGTAGCTTAGCAATTATTGCTTTTTCTCTAGCAGACATGCATTCTAGAGTACTTTCTGATGTTGTCTTAATTATATAAGCTGTACCTGCTTCTGCTTTCTCAGTAATACCATGATCAGCTAGAGAAGACAGTTCACAGCTTGCTGTTTCTTGGCAGGTAAACAATTCTTGTGTAGGATTAACTTTCAAGCTCCTTGTATCATCTCTTTTTCCCCACATGTCTTCATAATCTGCTTGTTCTTTGGACTGCTCTGTTATAGTTGTCTTACTCCCTCTTGCTCTTTCCTGACTTTCCAGAACATTCCAACTTTGTTTATGCTGTGTGTTCTTATTCTGATCTTCAGGATTAATCCAAACTGATTTTTCTTCTTCAGCTTGGAAAAGGTACTTATTCCTCAAAACATTTCCATTTCTTGGTGAACCAGCTTGACCAGGCATGCCTCCTAGACTAGTGCCTTTGCTAGCCGAGAGATCACAGTCTGAGGCCGCTGACACAGTTTCCTCCAGGCTTAGATTTGTCCTTGGTGAATGAAACATATCTACTCTGATTGACTGGTCATGAATTGTGGTGTTTTTACTCGGCAGAGCAGTTAGGTCTCTGTTACTGGCTCCCATCCCTTCCACACTTATTTCAGAGTGGCTTATCTTTCTTTCTTGGTCATGTAAGACTGATTGAAAACTTTTACTTTGTTTTTCATTAACACCTAAATATATTCTTTGCTCCGCCTCCTCATTCTTACTATTGCCATAATCTTTCTTGGAAGATCCTTTTTCTATCGATTTTTCTGAATGGAAATCCAAGCGAAAGTCATCTTTTAAACATTCCCAATCTTTTACTTCAATTTCTTTAGCTTCTCCTTCAGGTTTTTTGTTAAGGTTGTCTGCCATTAGTTGGTCTGCAGAAGGACAAGACATTTGCACTCTGCCTCTCACTTTGGCTGGATTAGCATTATCATCCAGTACTTCTTTGCTGCTAACATGTAATTGTACTACTTCATCACTACTAGTATTTCCCAATGATGGCTTGATTTCTCCTGTATCTGAAGTAAATTCCTCTGAATGTTGATAAGTATGCTCATTTCCTGAGAAATATTTTTCCTTGTGGTAAAAATCTCCCTTTAAGGATCTTTCTGCTGATGAACTTGAAGACAAAGGCCTTTTAAACAAGTCAGTGTGTACATCATCATGGATTTGCTTCTTCTCTAACCTCTCAGCTTTATTTGGAAAATTGTCTGTATTCTTTTCATCTCCAGAAGCAGTACTTCTTAGCAAGTGTTGGTTTATCTTAAGGGATAAAAACAACAAAAATAATGATTTTTATTGTTTTTAAATATACAAAGCAAGTTAAATAGTTTTCATTAATTTGGCTAGTGATTATCTGATAGATTTCCTTGATTCATTTCATTTGTAGATTTTGCACAAATTCTGAAAGATGAATGTTTGGGGGAGATTCTTGTAGGCTGTGACTTAGGAATGAGTTTAATAAGAAAAGGGGCCAAAATTAATAACTCTTCTTCCCAGCTTCCAAATATCACATTGTATTATTCAGCTATTCTTGCTTGTCATTGCACTTTCTCCTCACTTAGGATATACACATTGATAGCTCCATGCTAATCAATTAGAGAGCGGCTTCCTGGATGCCCCTTGCTGCATTTACACTTGCTGTAGGTGCCCCTATTATAGTATCTCTTATTAATATGTTTTCTGCAAAGCCTCTGCAAACTATTAATAGCAAAACGTCACTCAAAGAAAAGTGAGGGAGTTAATGTCTCTGCAAATTCTGTTTTAATGACCCTCTGCCAACTGGTACTCAAATGTATTTGAGCTCTTCAGTGATGCCAACTGTCAGGATTTAACAGTGAGATGCCTGTGTTTTTTTTTCTCCTCATAACTGACATTTGCATGATCTCAATAATTATATGCAAATCTTACGTTTTCCCCTTCTTCTCACATAAGGCTCATGTTACTTGTCAACTGCACAGCTGTCTTGTAAGCCAACGCCTGTGGGTTCCACAGATTTGGTTGTATTTCCATCTATTATAGAGCTTCATTGTTTTATGCATTAACGTCAGCATGGAGCAAATTAGCATCTAAATTACAGCTCCCTGTTTATTTATTGGACGTACAATCTCAGTAACTTCTAAACAAACTTTATATTTGCGCCTGCTCATTGTAATGAGGTGTATTGGTGAAGTATGTGATTTTTCAGAGTCCTTTCATTATATTCTGTGGTTTGAAAAAAATGGCTGTGTTAACTTTCAGCTGGTGAGAATTCTCACAGTGGGTGACAACTTTGTAGTTTCTTAAAGTTGGAGCAAAGTAAATTGCATACTTTAGTGATGCAGCTTCCATATCACTACAGAAAGGGTGGAATGTGTGGGGAAAGAGATGAGCTCTATTTCTTTTCTGTTTCAGCACTGACACTTGAAGAGGCAAATGTCATTTTAATCTTCGATGATTATGAATCCATGTATCCTAATGATATGAGCTCCAACCAAATACAGTAAAGGATAAATTGCATTATGTGACTCATTTACTCCTATTTCTTCCTTTGTGATAAAAATGCTATCTAAAGCATCCCCCTAAAAATCCCAAATAGATTGAATGTTCATGAAGTGTGAAATTTATTATAACAAATTTAATACTAAATTGTACAGTTCTGAATTTGTTTCCTGTTTAAAAATTATGGCACAAGCTATTTTATCCTCATTTGGTAATTTAATACTTTCCAATGATATAGAACTTAGAGATTCTCACAAAGATGGAAGTAAGTTAAAAAAAAAAAAGCTGCTAAATGCAAGAATCAGACTTGTAGAGCTGGACAGAACCCTAACAATCATCCAGTCCAGCCCTCTCATTTTACAGACGCATTTATGATAACTGTACACTTGTCACAAAGATTAGAAATGCACATCAGGATAGCGCTACCTCTTCTATAATTCCTACAAACTGTTACTCAGAGCCGCTGGTAAAGAGATAAGAAATGAATGTCATTAATTTGCCACTGCAGAGACCTGAAGTAACATACTGAAATCAAATCACTAGCCTTGTTGATGAAGCCAGAGACGCAAGGATAGAATGGGCTATGCTTTCGCATTTGCAAATTATATTAGTTGAAGCTGTTGAAAAGCAGACATTGCAGCATCTTTGAAGCATAAATGGATTCATCTTCTCTAATACCTTGGCAACCAGAATACTTACCATCGGCTCTAATTCTTTTTCATTACGTTCATCCTGTGCCCTGTTTACATCTTTTACATTTTGATTACTGGTTTCCAAGTCTTCCTTGTCCTCATGAGAACAAACAATTGTTGGGATATAGGTATCTGAAAAGTTAAGATAATTGTACCTATGTAAGATTGTTCTAGTTGTAGGCTTAACCAAAAGAAATATATTCTGTTTAAAAATTAAAGAAGTATTACCTGTAACCTTTGAATTCTCAAAGTTATTCTCATCTGATGTTACCGATGATTCTTCTTTACTGTTAAATTTACAACAAAATGTTATGCTTTTTCAGGGACTATAAATGTATAGCATTTTTATTATAGGAAATTCAAACTAGTTACAAGCTAAACAAATATTATATAACTTTTCACATTTTCTTGCATTACTTTGTATGTTTTTTCATTAAAATGAACTCTTAGAATGATGCAATAATGTATATTAGTTGTAAAAAATGTAAAAATTATTTACACAATACCATAATTCTAAATAAAATTATTTTACTTATATTAAAACATACAGCCGAAGGAAATATATATATAAATGTAGATTATCCCATAATTGTCACTTTGAAAGGCCAAATATTTCTCTCTTGTTTTAAATGATGAAGTTTTATGAACTGACAGTCCATTGTGGTCATTAAAATTACTTTCTAATGTTCCAATTATTAATTTTTTTGTTTTCCATTTCACTCAAAACTCTTCCAGTTGAACTGACATAATGTTAACTCTCTCTCTCCAGAAAAGGAGAAAACAAACAAACTAGATAGAAATTATAAGGCAGCTAAATTTATACCCAGTTTAAAGACTTCATGTGTGTATAGCCAAAGGCCAGTTTCACAGCCAAGATTTTGGTCATTCATATGGAAACATATATTTTTTTTTCTTTAAAATAATTTGGATTATACTTGCTTTTCTCTCATATTTTGCATACTTATTGAGAAAGACAAATACTTTTTTCTTTCAAGTGTAATCTGTTTATAGGTGTATTTGTGGAATTATAAGAATTTAGATTTGTCCACAATAGCAAGAAAATAGTTAGTGAAAAGCTCACTTTGTGTATAGTTATGTCACAAGTCAGTCTGTCAGAAATGATTGAAGCAATATTCACATTTTCTTGTACTGCCTCAGCTGAATTTTCTCCTACTGGCTTTTCTCAATGATTTTTCTGCAGTAAAAGAAATCCAGAGAGTTCACAATGACTGATGAATTTGAGTAATAGAACCTAATTTTCATTGCATGAACAGCGTTGATCCAAATCCCCAGAGGGCTAATCTTGTTTTGACAAATCACAAGAAAATTACAGATTCTTCCATCTTGACCATGTAAGAAGTAATTCAGCTTTGTATACATTTATGATGCTCAATTTTAGCTTTGCCAAAACTATTTGCTACCTTGCAGTGGGCCCAGAAATGAAAATAGTGTTTTTACATAGAAAATTTCATTAGAAAATATTATATTATCATAAGTGATACTGTTTTAATCTATAATATGTATTGTTTAATCAGGCCTATAATTATACAAAGATTCATTTTTGTGAAATCCAACTGCAAGTTGACACATTTTTTTTCTCCATGTCCAGAAAATCTATGTACTCTTAAAAATATGTAAACCATTAAACAGCATTTAGGTATTCTTTCTTTATCTTTCATCTGATAACAATATTGAAAATCTCCTTTGTAGAGGAAAATATCATTAAAGCTTTATGTTTTTGCCTAAACAAAATGTTATTAATCATTTTTCTTATTAAATTCTTTAGAATGCTTAAATTTTTAAAATAATTTCATCAAAAGGAAAGGAACTTGCTTTTAACTCACTGTGAGGATAAATATTTAGGTATCAAAATGGGTATTACTAGTTTGATATCTTACAAAAACATGTAAAGACAGAAATATAGGAGGGAAATCTTAGATTTAGGGGTAAATACAAGAAAAAGAATCCAAAATAGATGAAACTTAAGTACTATATCAAATATTTGTTTAATAAACTAATACAAAATGTGTAAAACTCCTACAAGGAAAAGAATAGAATTGCATCAATAAGTATTAAAGACCTAAAAAATATTGAGAGATATACCATGTTTATAGATAGGAAAATTACAAAGATAGTATCTCCAAATTTGATCTACAAATTCACTTCTAATCAACATTTCAAAACATGTTTTCACAAAATTTGAATATATGATTCTAAAGAGAAGAATAAAGGACTAAAAATCGCTGGTCTACTTCTGAGAGATAGTAGAGGAAGCACCTCTATGTAGTTTCAATACTTCTTATGAGGATATAGTTATTAAGACAATTATATTGGCACTGAGACAGGAAAGTGTTGAGAGCTTAGAAACAGATCCGCACATATCTAGAACTTTGGTATTTGATAAAAGTAGCATGTCATACATCAGTGAAATAAGGGACTTCTTAGTAAATGGAGATAGGGAAAATGACTACCCTCATGGGAAAAAAGTGAAATTAGCACAACAAATATTCAATAATCAATTACAGGTGCATTAGGATTTTACATGTCAAAAACCTTGAAATTCTTAGTAGAATATATGAATATTTTTCAGACCTCAGAGTAGAAAATGTTTTCTTAAAGAAAGAAAAATAAAACCACTATAAAAAAAGAAAGATTATCAGTTTAGCTCTATTAAAATTTAAAACTTCTGTTCATTGAAAGACCTCTTTATAATAGAAAAATATAACTAAACTGGGAGAACATGCTTACATTATACAACATCAACACAAAATAAATATCAAGAAATATAAAGAACTTCTACAATTCAATAAGAAAGCACAAACATTTCAATAGAATCAGGAGAGAGGGGTAGACATTTCACAGGAGAGAAAATGCACATAGTCAGTAAGCATATAAAGGATGGTCAGCATTATTAAAAAACAGAGAAATGCAAATCAAGACCACAAGGCGATGCTATTTTATACTTACTTAAATTTTTACTTATTCAATTGATAAAATTGACCATCAGTTTTATTAGTTGATAGTTGATCGCCGTCAACTACATAAAATTGAACCAATCCAAATGTTTATCAATGGAAGAGTAGACATAAAACTTGGTATTACCACAAGAGAAATATATATAGCACTCAAAATTGATTTAAAGTACACAGAGACATACACTAATATGGATAAATTTTAGCAACATATAATATTAAATGAACAGTGCTAAAACATTGCATCAGAGTAGTTTCTTTTTTATTGTGCTAAAAGCTATTGAAATAATCTAAATACATTTATCAAGGAATACATAGGATATTATTCTTATAAACAAGAAAGCTTGATTTTCAAGATTATGATTACATAAAAGTGGGATGAGTCAGGGGAAAAGAATGAGGAAATGATAAGTTGTTTTGTTTTACAGGTGTTTATTGTATCATTTAAAATATCTAAATTGTTAAATTCTAGTTTCAGGTAATATATTCAGACAAATGGTTTGCTCTCTGGTCTAAATTACAGGGTGTGTATAGATAAACTCCCACTCCAAAACCCAAAGTATCTGTTTTATGACCAATTACATTTAAAGGGTTTAACTAAAACAACTTTAGAAAATTTGAAAATAAAGGCAAAGAACTTTATGGTTGATGATGATAGGCCCCAGAACTATATACAGTCATGGTAGAAATGAAATATGTTAGAGAAAATTTCTAGTTTCCCCTTTATATTCTGAGTCCTTTTTAAGTAATTTATTTATTTTACTTGGAGGATAATTACTTTACAGTATTGTGGTGGTTTTTGCCATACGTCACCTTGAATCAGCCACGGATGCACATGTGTCCCCCCATCCTGGACACTCCTTCCACCTCCCTCCCCACCCCATCCCTCTGGGTTGTCCCAGAGCACCGGCTTTGAGTGACCTACTTCATGCATTGAACTTACACTGGTTATCTATTTTACATATGATGACATACATGTTTTAATGCTATTCTCTCAAATCATCTCACCCTCACCTTCTCCCACAGAGTCCAAAAGTCTGTTCTTTACATCTGTGTCTCTTTTGCTGCCTTGCATATAGGATCATCATTACCATCTTTCTAAATTCCATATATATGCATTAATATACTGTTTCCCTTTCTGACTTACTTCACTCTGTTTAATAGACTCCAGTTTCATCCCCCTCATTAGAAAGGACTCAAAAGCGTTCCTTTATATAGCTGACTAATATTCCATCATGTATATGTACCACAACTTCCTTATCCATTTGTCTGCCAATGAACGTCTAGATTGCTTCCATATCCTAGCTATTGTAAACAGTGGTGCAGTGAACACTGGGGTACGTGTGTCTCTTTCAATTCTAGTTTCCTCAGTGTGCATGCCCAGCAGTGGGATTGCTGAATCATATGGCAGTTCTATTTCATTTTTTAAGGAATCTCTGTACTGTTCTCCAAGTGGCTGTACCAGTTTGCATTCCAACAAACAGTGTAAGAGGGTTCCCTTTTCTCCACACCCTCTCCAGCATTTATTGTTTGTAGACTTTTTGATGGCAGCCATTCTGACCAGCGTGAGATGATACCTCATTGTGGTTTTGATTTGTATTTCTCTAATAATGAGAAATGTTGAGTATCTTTTCATGTGTTTATTAGCCATCTGTATGTCTTCTTTGGAGAAATGTCTTTTAGTTCTTTGACCCACTTTTGATTGGGTTGTTCATTTTTCTATTATTGAACTGCATGAGCTGCTTGTATATTTTGGAGATTAATTCTTCATCAGTAGTTTCATTTGCTATTTTTTTTTATATTCTGAAGGCTGCCTTTTCACCTTGCTTATAGTTTCCTTCATTGTGCAAGAGATTTTAAGTTTAATTAGGTCCCATTTGTTTATTGTTGTTTTTATTTTCATTACTCTGGGAAATGAGTCATAGAGGATCTTGCTGTGATTTATGTCAGAGAGTGTTCTGCCTATGTTTTCCTATAAGAGTTTTATAGTTTCTGGTCTTACATTTAGATCTTTAATCCATTTTGAGTTTATTTTTGTGTATGGTGCTAGAAAATTTTATAGTTTCAATCTTTTACACATGGTTGACCAGTTTTCCCAGCACCACTTGAAAAAGAGATTTTCTTTTCCCTGAGTCCTTTTTGAGCAGGGGAGTTTCTTACTGCTCTTCCTCGTGGTTAACAGTGTTTGACACTGTGCTGAGTAAATGCACAGTGTCCTTTCTAGTCTTCCTTTCTGTCTACATCTTATCAGCATTATCATAACATTGTTCTTCTTTTCTTTCCTCATTAAAAGTTAGTGTCATAAAAATTCTAAT